TATATTTTAAAATGTAATAGCACAGAGAAATACAAGTGTTTTTGCTGTGTTTTGTTTGTCTTTTTTTGTTTTTGTTTTTGTTTTTTCTCTGACAACCATTTAGGGTGTATGCTTCAGGCTGATGGGGGCTTGTTCTCACACGGTCAATCAGAAACACACGAAGGGCTGGGGAGATGGCTCAGTGGAATAGGTGCTTCCCTGGCAAGCACAAGGGCCTGAGTTCAATCCCCAGTTCCACCAAAAAAAAAAAAAAAAGAAACACACGAGAAGTCACCTCTGTGATTTTTCAACTTTGTATTTCTTTTGTGAAAATAGTGAAGAAAGGAGTGAGTGTTTTGCCCAAACAAAAGAGAATTTTAGCAAACCTAGTAGAATTTGTCATGGTATAATTATCCTATGGCACCAAACTGAAGTCTCATTAACTTGAGCAGAAAATGGGAATTTTTGTTGCACAGTATCAAGAAAAGTAGATTTTTTTACTTTTTTTCAATTTTTTACTACACATTTTTTCATTTTTGCTATTAGACTTCTTAGAAATTCTCAGACAAGATGAATAATGATTACAAGAACAAATTATAGGACTATTCTCTTATCTTTTAAAAAATTGGCATTAATTCCTTTTTTATTAATTTTATTGAGAAACTAATAGCAAGAGACAGTTTCAAAACTGATTAGGACAATTTCAATAAATAATACATTGCATATTGGCATTAATTCTTTAAATACTACTTTGATAAGCTTAAAGATTTTCATTTGATTCTTGTTTTACTTAGAACTTACTTTAGAGTAAAGCTAGCAAGCTTCATCAAATTTCTGCTTTTAATTTCAAAATCATAATATGTCACTTTCAATGCATCCATCCAATGAATTATGTTGACATATTTCCAAATAAAGAAATACTTAGAATAACTTCACTTTATTCTGCAAAAATAATGATGACATACTTTTGGCATATTAAACATATATGATGGTATTTAGAGATATGCTAATCTTTTAAAAGAATTTTGCATATATAATTCTAAATAAAATGAAAGAACAAGGGCTGGGGAGATGGCTCAGTGGAATAAACCCTTCCCTGGCAAGCGCAAGGGCCTGAGTTCAATCCCCGGTTCCGTAAAAAAAAAAAAAAAAAAAAAATACACATGGAGTTCATATGCAGATATGAACACAATGGCTGTGTGGTCTGCTCTCCAACATAGATTGGCCCTTTTTAAAGAACTCTGTCAATTTCCTTACAGACATGTACTAAAATTACATTTAGACAG